AATGGCACCTTTCTGAAAAGAGCATTAAGTTTTAATCTGGAAGGCAATCAATTTGTCAGTGGATCACCTTTATCAGGTTGAGATTTGGTTTTAGGTTCTGTTAAGGAAGGTCTGTTTTGTCTTTAGTCTTACAGCACAGCCCTAACATTACCTAGTTCTTATACTTAGGGTATGGCCTTTTTTGGAGTCTCTACAAAATGTCTGGGGACTCACCAAGTATTCTCTACAATCACTGAGCCTAATTGCCAACCCCTATCCCTCCCAGCACTATGCTGTATCTGAAATATCTTTTCAACCCTCTAGCTTCTGAGCAGCTTTCTTGGCTTGATCTCCCAGATTCTTGTGCTGTACATATATAGCATAAAAGCTGGCTCTGAGGGGAATTTTCACATTTTCACACAGTGTTTTTAAGCTGCTTCTTTTAGGTCCCTCCTTTTTGGAACTCTGCCCACCAAATTCCAGTTGCCTTTACAGATCTGAATTACCATCCCTGTCGCTTTTACCCAGTGAGACTGCCACTCTGGGCACCGTTTCTCCACACTGTGATCTGGAAAATGCCCATAGGTGAAAGCTGGGATGAACTTGGAGCTCATCTAATGTGCTTCCTTTTTTATGTGTTTCTGTTCCCTAAAGAATCGCAGTCTTAAATTGACTCCTGTCCAATATTTTATCCAGCTTTTAAAATTGTTCATAAGGGAAAGTTAATTCCAGTATCAGCCACTCTATCATGACCAGGTCCAGATCAATTAGTTTTCAAAAATAATTTCTATGCCAGATATTCTCTCTCTCTCTCTCTGTATGTATATATATATATATTAGAAATTATAAACATTACCATTTTAATAAAATTATATAATGTTTTATATGTTTATAAAATTATAAACATAAATTTAATGATTTTATAATTTTATAAGCATATAAAACATGATTTATATCTATATTTTACATAAATATATAAAATCATATAGATATAAATCATGTTTTATGTTTATAAAATTATAAACATTAAAAATTATATATTTATAGATGATTTTGTGTGTGTGTATATATATATATATATATATATATATATATATACACCTTATCTCCATTTTTAAAAATTAGGAAACTGATGATCAGAAAATCTAAGAGAATTTCCTAAAATTAATCCAGCTTGTCAATAGAGCTGGAATTGGAACTGAGATTACTTGGGCTCCAAGTTCCACCTACCTAGCCACTAATAAGTCAGTGTATAAAATCCACCCAGGAGTCATTACAATTTTACCCACAATTTTCCATCAGTATTTTTATGCCTTAAAATATTTAGAGGGAGAGAATATTGAAGTCACTGACTGAAATAACTGATGTTTATATAAGGGTCTTTCTCCCTTATTTACAGATATTTGATAACTGATTGTCTATAAAACAGTAAGTTCTCCTGAGATATCATCATCTCCAGATTTTTTGTTCCTAATATCTTATGATATTAAGATAATCCTACTCATTTAGAGGAAATTGATACTACTGAGTAATTCCTTCAATGAATGTGGCAAACTTCCTGTCTACAGAGACCACGTCACCATGACAAAGACATACCAAACCATGCTTTTGGACATGGAATACTCTGCAAATAATAATGAGAAATTTTAAACCCATCAAAATGTAGTCTGACTCTGCAAAATTCACCCTTAACCACAACTAACAACACTAATCTCTAATCCTCCATCTCTCTTAGTAAAAAAGGTAAATTATAAACCTACAAACAGTATTCTGAGTTTACCCCAAAGACATGTTTCCAAAATGCAAAACAGAAAAATTACATAAACAAAAACATGGTGTAAAGTGTGAGAACGGTCTTTAATATCTGTTGCCTAGTGTCTGTTTCCCTGGTCTATGCACATTTTCATATCCACTAATGCCATTTACAGACAATCTTCATTGATGATGATTGCTCACTGAAGTTCTATGCTTTAATATCCCAATTATTATATCAATTTCTTGGATGTAAATGGACTTACCCATTCTACTCCTCTGTCATTTCCCCTCTCCACAAATTTCTCATCAGTTTTTCCTGGCCTTGTCTCCCATTTGAGTTCTATTATGTGAATCAAAACCATGAAGCTCTATCATTCTAGAGGCCATAGATTTAATACTACATGTTGAGAAGATTCAATCTGACTTAGGAGATAAAAAGATGAAGAGAATGATACAGGAAAAGCATATGGCCACTGGGCATTTGCAGCAGCACAAGCAATTGCAGACAGTTGTTCAGCAATTTGGGGAAGATCATCAGTTACCTCTGGTGCATGACTGTGAAACTTGTTTCCCCAATAATGTGCACAGGTGCAGTCTATGCTAAACAGATTAGTCACTGCCTGGTGACTCTAAGGTCTGAAACATAGGGCAAATTCCACTCTTCCTCACATCAGTGGAAATGTCTTCAAAATGAGAAACACTAAAGAAGGTACAGCTGACAGCCAACTTCTGCTTCCTTAGGGAATTCAATAGAACTAGTCTGTGTCTGAAGATAAACTTGGGTAATATAATGGTAAGAGAGGCAGAGTTTTTTGTGGCATGGAAATTCTGCAATAGCATCATGCCACTAACCACAACTGATAAAGAGGAGGTAAATTGAGAAGTAGGTAGGTCCCTGGAACCCACATGCCACCACTGAAAACTACATACAGATGCTTAGCCTTTTGCCTTCATCTCCTTTTCTTTTGATCAGAGCTCATGGAGGACTGATTTTGAGGCCAGAGATGGACAAAAGTCTTGCAGCAGGAAAAAGAGAAACGGCCCTTTTCTACATCTTTTATGTCTAATTCCATGTCAGACACACTATTGTGACACTTAGACTTTTGACTTCTGTTTACTTACTTTACAAATGCTATCTAACTACTTAAGTATTTCTTTTCTTTTAGAGATGATGTCTTGCTATGTTGCCCAGGCTGGCCTCCCCCTCTTGGGCTCAAGTAATCTTCCTGTCTTAGCATTAAGAGTAGCTAGGACTACAGGCACACACCACCATACTTACTGGTTAGCTACTTCCTAAGAAATGAGCATGGAGTACCGAATCAGAGGATAAGAAGGGATCAGATGCTGTATTCCCCCAGAAATGGAGTAACAAAAAAGCATAAGGCTTGAGTCTGCCTTGAGGGCTTACCAACAGGATGGAAATTTTTTACATCTCTCATCTTCTTCTCTCATCTTGGTTTTCTCCCTTCCTGACTCAGGAGAGTTAGAGCATTTGGATTCAGTAGTCCCTTTAGAGAACTGACCAAATGCAAATGCAGACATTGAAGTGCAGACACAGCACTGAGTCGTGACATGCCAAAAACATTCAAAGGGAGGCAAGCCAAATGTGAAGGAAGAGGGCACTGAAGCAACCAGTTATTCAAGGCAGGCACCTGAAATCACCATAAATGTTTTAATAGAGACTTCTACCATGATTTGCTGCTAGGTACAGCTGGAGTGCATTTTATTCATGTCTGCTACATTTGGTGGGTCCACTAAGGGCAAATTTATTGCCACTGTTGGAATTTTAATGCCCATGAGGCTACAAGCCTTGGTCCTGTTTAACAATTCTTCAAAGTGTCCTGTGCAAATCTAAGGTGGAATATCAAGAGTATAAAAGATGGTTGGGAAAGAATGGGAAAACATGTTAATTATGAAACAGAAAATGCTTCAGTTGGGGTTAATTTCTGTAGAAAGAAACCTCAGGGATATTTCAGTTAGCAAGTAGGTTTTACAGAATTCAAACATAGATTGGAGAGATTTTGCAAATACACGTTTTCTCATATTTTTGATGATTAAAGACTGAATTTTGTTAAAGGAATGGGACCTTGTTAACTGAACAAAGAATCCCATATTCTTTTTATCCTTCCATATTCCTTTTCTCCTCTGTTGAAAGGACACAGTCCATTCCTTTTTTGTGTGTATTTTCTCCCCAGCCCCTCTCTCAGTGGGAAATCCTATCACTGGTATTTTTAATTTGACTGTTTCAGAGCCTTTGGATTCAGCAGTGGCATCAGCATGTCTATGTGAGAGCAACCTTACTTGTTAAACTTACTCAATTCCTCGTATTACACTGAAGTGGAAAATTTTTTTTAAATGCTTTATCATTTTTCAAGGCAAAATGAAAAATGATAAGCACAGTCTAAATAAAGAAAAATTTGAAAAATATCTCTCTTTTAAGAGTCAGTTATTAATTGAGATCTGGATCAAAATAGGTATAACAATGCCTGGGACAGAGAGTCAGTTTTCCTTTGGTAGAAATATGGTCCAAGATTTCTGTGGCAGATACACAGGACTCCCTTTTGGAGTTGGGGGACTGTGAAAGGAGCTGTTAGGCTCCCCTGCTGGGTAGTTTACCTCATTTAAGTCTTACAGCTCCCCTGGGAGAAAGACACGCGTAGTCTCGCTGTACGGAGGAGAATGTCTCAGAATTTAAGTTAATTGCTTACAGTCTCTCTGCGGATAAGTTTCAGATGTGCCACTGAAACTCAAATCTGCTTAGGTTCCTTTCACAGCGCTACATTGCCTCAAACGGAGACGTTTTGAGTTGGTCTGAATATGCTTTTTCCAGTTCGCAGAAGTGATTGGAAGAAGTTGTTTTTCCTTCCATTTCCTCCAGGCCCATTATGGCGAGCGTAGGAGCAACATCTAGGATTCTCCGTTTGGGTTTCAAATCCGAGGCGGGCACCTCTCGTGTCCTGCCGCTGTCCCAGGCAGGTGGTGCTGGATTCCCCGGCGCTCGGGCAGAAACGAGGAGTCTCCGCCAACTCCGCAAAGAGGATCTATTCCCAGCCCCCTTGTCTCCCTAAAAAACACCCAAACCAAAACAATCACAATCTAGACCGTGGGCCTCTGCGGACCGGGCAGAAGAGGGTCGGGGGCAACAAGGCACCTCGGCAGCGCCCTCTGGCGAGAGCAAAGCGAGCAAGTCCCCCGCCCGCGCCCAGCTCCGCTGCCGCCGCCGTCGCCGCGGCGCCCCCGCCCGGCTCTCGGGGTTCACTCTCGGTCTCTCACTCCGTGAGACACAGACGGCAGCTTTCCGAGCGAGCTGGGGACAGGCTGAGGCGGCGCCAGCACAACTGCCGCCGCGCGCCCCGAGAAGACCTGGGCAAGAGGAAAGAAGGCGAAGCCGGAACTCCTTCCCCGAGCCGACGGACACCTGGGCGCCTCCGCTCGACACCCTTCGAGGCCACTTCGCGGGGCGGGCCAGGACTTGGGGACGCGGCTCAGGAAGAGCCGGGGCGGGCGGCGGCGGCGGGGGCCCAGGCGCGAGGGTTCGCGCACTGGGACTAGAGAGGAGTGAGCGGCGGGCCAGGCGGCGGCGGCCGTAGCCGCGGGTGCCTCCCCGCCTCGCCGCTTCGCGTGCAGCACCGCCTCCCGGGCCGCGGCCGCCCGGCCGGGTCCTCTGCGCGTTCCCGGGCCCAGAGCCGGCGCACGATGCGCCCGGCTGCGTTCTGATCGCCGCCGCGCCTCAGCTTCCGCCGCGATGATCCCCCCCGAGCCGCCGCAGCAGCAGCAGCTGCAGCCGCCGCCGCCGCCAGCCCCGCCGAACCATGTGGTGACCACCATCGAGAACCTGCCGGCCGAGGGCAGTGGCGGCGGCGGCGGGAGCCTGTCCGCCTCCTCCCGGGCTGGCGTGCGCCAGAGGATCCGCAAAGTGCTGAACAGGTGAGCCGCGGCGCCGGGCGAGGGCGCGGGGGGCAGGGGCTGCGGGCGCCGGGCTCCGGGTGCCTTCCGTCCCTCGGGCGGCCCACGGGTCCTCTGGGACGGGGTCGAGGCCCGGAGGGACTTAGGAGATCGGGCGACAGCGCGCTCCGCGGTTTCTGAGAGGCCGCGGCAGCTTTGTCCCGGCGCGGGGAGCCCTGGAGTGGAGGGGCTGCGGCTGGTCCGGGGAGGGAGTTCGGAGAGGCGGGGTTTTTCGTACCTAGCCGCCCCGTGTGTGTCCGCACTCACACCCTCCACATGCGTGACGCCTCACTTTCCTTTCCCACTCGTAACCCGGCTTTGCGCTCGGGGGTCGGGGGCTGTGGGGACCCGGCCAGGGCAGAGGAGAGAGGCGCTGCGCTGCGGGGATTGCGTGGAAGTCCCGGGCCTCGCACAATCCCCCGCCCCGCCCGGAGGCTCCGACCCGGTGCGCCGGGGATGGGGTCGCTGCGACTGCCTAGAGGGCGGAGGGAACCCACTTCTCCAGCCCGACACTCCAGTTGCCGCTCGGACTCTTCCTGGCTGGGAGCCCCGAAGAGGAGGCTAGAGGCCTGGAACAGACCCAGGCGAAGTGCAAAACGTTGCGGGCAGGGTATGAGCCGGCGGCGCCGTTATCCCGAAGCGCCCAAGCCGGAGGGGGCGGGCGCCGACCACAGATTTCCAGTGCTGGAATCCGCGTAGTGGATTCAGGACCTGGACGTTTTAGGATGAGGAGTTGGGTTGATGTGAAAATGGGAGTACCTCTGGCACCCCTGACTCAAATGTGATGTGAATGGGACTTTTTCTACTTAAGTAACTTGAAATGGTTGATGAGCTGACACATTAAAAAAAATTGTATAGGGAATGGGTTTTGTGTTTATTTGGGTGCGTGGGTGCTTTCCGATGCATCTGTAGGGGTAACACTTCCAGTTGCTCTGTTCATACAGGTTTCTGTGTGGCAGTGTTTTGGGTAGGCAGAGATTCCCCAACGAATTCACACGGAACTGTCTGGCGCTTAAAGCTCTGGTGGGAGCACAAATTATGTATAGAAATAGAATCTTGAGAAATATCTTTTTTTTTTTGGAAGTATAGTTTAATTTAGTTATATCAAATCCTGAACCATTCAACAATCCTTGGTGAAGAATTAATGAGTGTGTTAATTTATTTGTGAGTACTTCTGTAGGTTTCCATTTATTATCAAACAAGAAGAAATTCACTCTGAGGGGAGGCACGAGTTGGTAATAGAACTAAGGCTTTGATTTGTAGCTGAGAATACCGCCTTCCAAAAGATAAAGCAGAATAAATCAGGAAGATGCTGGCTCAGTACATATTATGTGAGCTTTGTATATTTTATGAATACCTGTGGGTTTGTTTTTTCTTTTTTTGAACTGCAAATACCTTGTCATTGGCTGTTTAAATTTTTATGTATTTTTAATTATTTTTTCTCATCAAACTAGAAAAAATTGATGCAATAATTTCTCTTTGCTCAATTATAAGTTGTTATTGATTCCATATAGGTTATTTCGTGACATGTAATGAATCAGAGTCTAGAACAAAAGGGTCACTGAGGTAGGGGTGAGGGATATGTTGTCATCATATGGCCAGTAGCTAGACAAGTGGTTTACAGCAGAGCCATTTATCTACTTGGCCTCGTTTCTTCCTTGTAAATTATGCTTAATAATACAGTACCTGTCTTACTTCCCTACCATGATTTTGAGAATTAGATAATGCTGAAGAAAGCACTTGGGAAAGTATAAAGATCTACCTGAATTAATTTATTCAACTCACTTTTGTTTTCTAAGGTAAGTCTAGGATAAACATAGGCAAATGAAGTTGAAGTCATGGTACCTTACGGGTAGAATCTTGTGTTTCATTAAGCCGTCAGTGATTTGTGACATGACTTGTACTAGTCCCAATGTATAGAGGTGGAACTTATACTTACGTTGGGTTGATGGCCTTTCATCTCAGGTACAACCATGAATGGAACCCAGGGTTGTAACCTTTAGACTTAAGCTAAAACATTTATTTATTTGTCTTTCAAAGTTATTCAGAATTTTCAGTATAATATTCTGTATTGAGTAACTGGCTTTTCCTTATCCTTAAAGGATAAGAAGAAAATATTTCTTTCAAGAAAGAACATTTTTAGTAAGGAGACTGAAAACAAATCTGAACAAGTTTTAAGATCTCAATGACATAATTTATTTAGCATGCTGATGGGCTTGGCTTTTGTGCCATAATTATGTCAATGAGAGCCTTAATAGTGGCTGTGGAGTGATTTGGCTGTAGGTAAAAGTAGGAGTATGGGGGAGAGTGAATTTTTGAGATTCTGCATAGTGCTTGCATGTGGTTCCTCTCTGCTTTGTACCCTCATGATGTGTTGGACTGGTTGGTAATGTATATCAGGCAGGCCCACTGGGGCCTAATCATAGCATCTTTGTTAATTTTCTAAGATCTCATGATCTGCTTACTTTTTCTTTTTTTTCTTCCTTCTTTATTCTTCCTCCTTCCTGAATAATTCGCCCAGATTGCCCTATCCACTCATTGTCTTCAGTTGTCTTTCCTCTATCCTTATCATGCAACAACTTAGTTTTTAGCAGAAAGTGGTTCCAAATTGGAAGCTACGAGTCAATATAAAAAATATCCCTCCAACTTTTGGCATGCAAATATATAGTTAGCAGCATTCTATTGCTGTGAGCTGATAGGGCTAGTCTCTTCAGTGACTGAAATGGAGGGCTGTACCACTATCAGCTCTTAGCATCCCTCTGGGCCAAAGGAGTAACGCTGAGATACAGAATGGTGCAATGGGATGAGAAATATTAGACTGTCAGCAAGGGAAACCTGGTGAATTGCCTGCCATTGGTCACAGTCTACAGCAACAGCTATCTGACAACTCAGAGGAAGAATTGCAAACACATACGCCATCTATATCCTGTCTACCAGGGAGAGTTAAAGAGAGAATTGCTCATCAATAATTAATTAAAGGTAGTTCTTGCTCTCAGGAAGTTTAGGGTGAAATATAGTGTTATCTTAATAAAATCTGCCTTACATTATTCTGCATCATTTTATTTCTTTAGTATACTCCACAGCCTCTCCCCTTACTTTAAAGGTTTGTCGAGTTGGATTGTTGCATTTTGTACACGACAATTGGGGCATTTCATTGGTTGACTACTCCCTTTCTGTGAAGCAGTTAGATTAGAATATAATTGTATTCAAGGCCTGGTGAAAGTGGAGATACTAGATAATTTTAAAAATAATTAATGGGACATGTCACATTTTTTCCCCTGGTATAATCAGAATTGTTTTGGCAAAGAGATGCCAGAAATACATGCTAATTTAAATGCTGGGATAATTACTACTCCTTTAATATTCAAAGTTGTGAAACAATCAATGTATTGATTCACACAAGGAAAAAATAAGGCAAAGTCTTCTTCACATTCCCTCCCTCCCTCCCTCCCTTCCTGCTTGAACGTAGATTCAAGTGGCAGAATTTCACAAGAACCCTTCCTTCTTTCTCTCCCTCCCTCCCTTCCTCCCTGCCTCCCTCCCTCCCTCCCTCCCTGCCTGCCTGCCTGCCTGCCTGCCTGCCTGCCAGATCTCGCTCTGTTGCCATCTGTTGCAGAGGCTGGAGTGCAGTGGCATGATCATAACTTATTGCAGCCTGGACCTCCTGGGCTCAAGCAATTCTCCCATCTCAGCCTCCCAAGTAGCTGAAAATACAGGTGCATACCACCATGCCTGGCTGTTTTTAAAATTGAAAAAAAAAAATTAGCAGAAACAAGATCTCATTCTGTTTCCCAGGCTGGCCTCAAACTCCTGGCCTCAAGTGACCCTCCTATTTTGGCTTCCCAAAGTGCTTGAATTGCAGGCATGAGCCACTGTGCATCGCTCTCACTTATTTCTTAGCATAGTATAGTATATATTATCCTGCCACAGGCAAGCGGAAAACAGCAAAAAGAAAATACTTCAAGGGCAACCGTTGATGACCCTCTCAAAGAAACTGCTGATCAGGTAGAATTCTTAGACACATACAGAAGTAGATACTGTCCTACGTATTAAAGTACCTGAAGATTTTCTACTTTAACTGATTTCTTAATGAAATGTTTTTGAGAAATGAGTGATAGCTTGTTTTGTGTTTTGCATATGTCTGCTTTTATTTATCTTTTCCCACTTGAGTATTATTTTCAGTTGTTAACAGAAATATCTGTGAATTTCTAGTTTTGATACACTTTCTTCCCATTAAGACATATAGTGGGTTTTCTCAAATTATAAAGGGGTTTCTGCCTTGTTGAATCTTATGTTGGGAATGTTTAATAATTACAATGGACTCACTACTGGCTCTGAGTCATCCATTCATTTGATTTAGAATGAACTGATTTCCAACTTACATTTAGACCTATTTTCTTTAGATTTATTTTTAAATTTCTGAAACCTTTTTGAAATATAAACCAAAGAACATTAAGGATATACATAGAAGAGTTTGAAGTTAGCCTACATAAAATCAATGTCCAAGTAGGAAACTCACCATGTAAAATGGGCAATATGTGTACACAGTCTTTCTGAGTCATTATATAAGGTGAACAGACTGAACTCTAGGTATTGCATACAGTTGGTGGAAACATAATTTAGATGATCCTTTCTTATCAGTGAGAAGGCTTTTGTTAAGAAATTAGTGGTGAAGCTCTTCCTCAAGCTGCTCCTTCTAATGTCAAAATGAGAAGAGGAAGATCAGCTACTAATGAGGTTGATTGATACAAAATATTCACGTGGAACTGGGTGGTGTGATTAAAAACAGACTTTTCTAAGATCAGTAGTAAATAAAGGATGTCTGAAGGATACATTTATTTTTAACTAAAATGACAAAATTATAAAAATAAAAGATCATCCAAGTGTACTTGTATTTATGCACAGTACTTAGAAAAACTAATGTTCACATAGAAGGAATATTTGGATTACCTCAGATAAATACGATGCATTTTTAAGTAATT